TTGTTTGTTAGTGCTATAGTGAACACTATACCAGAGCGACCTCAGATTCTGTTGGATCCGTATGCAGGGCCTGCTAGCATGGCTGTTCTCCAAACCCGATAATTACAGGCCGTCGGAAATGTAGCATACACTTCCTGGCACACGTACAGATTTACAATCTGTACAGCCTGCTTGCATGTTTTTTTGTAACCAAAACTCAGCTTCTTTTTGTAGCTTTTTTTTTGTAAATTTGCTACATTTAGTCAGTTTGATTCGTGAAAAGAAGTGTGGAGAGACTCCTTTTATGTAGAGTCAAATGATTGGTCATTTTTCTGAAGAACTGAAAGCAAAAAATATGAATTTAACTTCGCAAACGTTCCTTTTCAGATCTGGGCTTTGGTTGATGGTGTTTCTGTGCAGTTTCAGCCTAAAAATGGTTTCTTTCAAAATTCAAACCGAGTTGAAATGGTAACTCTTTGCGATTAATTACTGTAGTTTCAAATGTCTAAATCTTCTCTGGTTAAGAGGAAGAAAAAGTAATCTTTTCTTCTTAAGCGAGGTCTACCTCGAGTTAATTAATGCAAAACATTCAGCAAATTAGGTATAATTTAGGAAAGTTTATATTCCAGAAACTTTGCTTTTCCATGTCCAGACTGAACCCGCAATCATTCCTGCATTGAATCTATTATTTAAATTTGCATCTTTTTCCAGACGCTGTTTCATTAGCATAGTTGAGTGCTTGAAGACGGAGGCATGGTCTGTCCCACTGACAGTCGGGGATAGACACGTTCGATACCAAGAAACATGTCAACAACCAAACAAGTAGCTTCCTGTCAGCTACATTGGGGGAAGCAATGTGTCCTTTGTGACAGCGGCTCTGAAATGCACTCGCACAAAAGGGAGATTATGGCTGGGCTTGTGTCAGAGTGGGACTGGAGTGTTGGCGTGGAGTGGCACTGAAAGACTCGTACTGTGCGACACGCTGGCGCTGAAAGTTACGCAGGCCTGCATGTGCTCGACCTTCACGATTGATGCAAAGCCTTTGGCGTTGATTATGTCACAGACTCTATTATTTTGATTTTAAGCACCATTAGATGCACCAAATGGATTTAGTAATATATATTTACAGTTAATTGGTCAAAACTCACAGCCAAGATTGTATGCTGCTGTGGATTGTTTCCAGATTAGTTTCCAAATTTGCTAGTGTGTACAGTATGTGTTTGTCTGGTAAGATGTTTTTAAAAAGTCTTGCATGCTCACCAAGGCTGCATTTATTCGTTCAAATATATAATATAATAATAAATTAAAAAAGAGCAATATTTGTAAGATTTAAATAGCTATTTTCTATTTGAATACATTTGAAAATGTTATTTATGCTAAATTTGTTTCAGCATCATTACTCCAGTCTTCAGTGTCACATGATCCTTCAGAAATCATTCCAATATGCTAATTTGCTGCTCAAGGAACATTTCTTATCATTACAATGTTGAAAACAGTTGTGCTGCTTCATGTTTTTTGTGTAAACCATGATACATTTATTTCAGGATCCTTTAATGAATAGAAAGTAAAAAAAAACTGCATTTATTTGAAGGGATGTAACGATTAACCGCGAGCCGGTTGAAAATCGATTAAAATATGTGACGATTCAAATCGGTTGAGATGCTAAACAAATCGTGATTCATTTAGGGGTAGGAGTTTATATGAATGTATGTCTGAGGGGAACTTACTGTCTTTTGATTGTATTTTTTCTTTTCATCTTGCCTCTCTGTATAATGCATGTTAAAGTTCATAAGCGCAGCGCTGCTTTGTTTACAGCGGAAACCAAGGAAATGCTTTAAGCGCCACCTGCTGGCAGAGAGTGAATCTGCGTCTCATTCTGCTCGTCTTGTGTTTCTGTTTCATGCTGATATTTTTGTATGTATAGTTTCATAAACTTAAGTCAAATCATTCTGTTTTTGCTTCAAATTTCGAAATTATTAGTTTTGTTATTTACATTTACATTATATTTAAATTTAGTCATTTAGCAGACGCTTTTATTCAAAGCGACTTACAAATGATGACAATAGAAGCAATCAAAACCAACAAAAGAGCAATAATATGCAAGTGCTATATTAGTATATTATTATAGTGTTATATTTCAATTTCACAAAGAAACGTGCAGCATTTTGCCCAAGCAAAAATAAAAGGACACATTTAATTTATAATTTGTCTTAAATCTCATTTTGTTAAAAAAAAATCGTTAATCAAATCGAATCGTGATTCGAATCGAATCGTGAGTTGAATGAATCGTTACATCCCTATTTATTTTAAATGATCATGTTATGATTATGATCAATTTAATGCTGATTTGAAATTCATTAAAGTTAATTTCTTAAAAAAATTCACACTGTCCCTAAACTTTTGAACAAAATTGTATAATGCTTAAAACTATCAGTAATAATAATAATAGTTAGCAAGCATCATGGATTCTTCCCAAACAGGCTTCCATTTTCCAATCAAATGGGTTGTTCCTCCCCAAATGTAACGCTATTGGTTGAGCTAGATGAATGTTTTGAAAGCGTGATCTTTCATTCTTGAGGAAGTCAAAAAAGCAAACAAAAACCACAGACAATACTTTTTAGTATCTGCATATTTAAGTGAGATTGAAAATGTTTTAATTTTTGTTCTGTGCAGGTGTTGATGCGCCCACTCAGTACAGCTGTGAAGCTCACAATGAGAAAGGCCTCACAGTATCCAGAGAAGCTCACATCAATATCAAAGGTAAAGCCGATCTGAGAACAGGGGAATTTTTTATATTATATTATATTATATTATATTATATTATTAGCATTCATGTTATGTTTTTTATATATTTTCATTTGATTTAGTTTGCATGATAGGACTAGGTGTTATGATCCCAATATTCAGCACCATTTAGCCGCACCATAGAACATTTTCCCTTCACTGTGAGCAGAACACAGTGAGACGCAGCAATTGTTACGCTCTGATTTTGGTTCAGCAAGAATCCAGGATCATGGCCTAATCCATGTCCGTGGTACTTGCCTCAATACCCAATAATCAGTTGTGAATTTACAATTGCTTTATGCGTGACTGGGGAACAATAAGACAAAGGACTAATATGGTAAGATGGATAGACGAAGATGGTGCAGTTCTTCGCTGCGGTCATTGAGTGGGGATCCTTGACGTTTTGATGATATGTAATGCTGTACATGATGTGTACTTATCTTTCATGGATGTTGCCAGTGAGACTCCTTATCCGATGTCCATCAGATCCCAGTTTCTCTGTGAACTTTAGCCTGGGTGAAAGATGCCTTTTGTTGAGGTGATGTTGCCAATGACCTTTGTAAGGTGTTTCCACCAATGCAACACATCATCAGTTGTGTACCCCAGCCTCATTGGGTGTTTCGGCTCTTTATCACAAGACACCCTCAGCCGAGGCAGGCCCACCACAGGCTGTTCAGACCCGGGTGTGTGTCACTTTGGCCCATTTTCTGAGGCATTGCGTTCTGTACGTCATTAAAACTGCGACAATTTGGTACTTCTCCGCGGTTTAATGTCGTCATATGTGACCCGTGCTGGCAAAATGAGTGTAAATTCGCACGGGCTATTTTGAGCAAATTTGTGAAAAATGCTCCAAGTAGTAATTAAACATCTATAATTCTTTATTTGTACATTTTCTGAGAGGATTACCTTTTCTCCGCTAGCTTCTCGCACTGACTGTCATCCGAAGTGAGTGCATATAGCGGTGCTTCTGACGGCACGCAATCCCAATAAATAGCCTACACACATATACAGAATTACAGTATTTCAGTACTCACGCAAACATAATCTGTTCTGTCTTAAGTGAACGCTTGGGGGAAAAACATCTGATGTGTAACATATTAGATCCGTGCATTACAGTATAGGACGTCTGTCTCATTAATGTTAATCTAACAATAAAAGAAAAGAGGGAATCACTCGCTGCACTTCATTGAACTGCTTTTGTAGTTTTAATAATCAATTTATTTGTAATGAACACACTTAAGTTATTTTTACATTTGATTATTTGTTTTTCGTACATGAATGCTTTTGTTTAGATATAAAATGATAAAGGTGATGCATTATTTGTTTCTTTCTAGGCTATTTGTTCTACTGCTTTTTTTTGCATCTGTTCTTATTTATAATAGCAAAGATAAAATAAAAAATAGCTATATTGTGATTATTAATATAGCAATTAATTATAAGAAAAGACGATGGACTTCACTCTATCGACTTCAAATGGGTGTAGCTCAGTCATTTTTTGTCTTTTTTTTTTACATTTGCTCATTGTCTCTTTGTCTCATTGACTCGTTTTGTCAGCACAGGTCACATTATTCTCAGGAGGAAGCACATGTGGAGGCGGTAAATGACAACAACGCATGCGCAATGTTTCAGATGGTATGGCAAGTGTAAACACATGAATCGGATTTGGGTCACAATTGAAAGAACGTGTAAACGGACAGCCAAAAAAATCGGATATAGGCAACAAATCAGAATTGGGCATCAAGACCTGCAGTGTAAACGAGGCCTTTGTTACATGGTCATTTGGCAGCCCACCCTGTGTCCATCCGCTTCAGCCACAGCCAGTGGCTGCTTCTTTCTGCAACAGTGGCCAGTTCCCTGACTATCGTCCGCTGGACCTGTCCTCTGATGCCCAACTCCTTCAGCGGCCTTATAGTAGAACTAGCCACAAAGCCCCTGCAGCCCACTTCCACCGGGTATACTTTCACTGTCCAGCCCCGCTCCTCTGCCTCAGCTGCCAAGTTGGCATATCGCAGTGAGTCTGTGGATTAAGTCGACTCGCATTTCCCAGTCCCTGGCTATATTCAGCTGGCCTGCGTCAGGGGACAGGCACTAAGCCCGCTTTTCCTCCCCTTCCCTAACAAAGGACTGCCTTTTTGGTAAGGTATTCGTGGCATTTTGGGGGATGGTGTTTGTTGACACTCTCTTGGTCTCTATTGCTGCCGCCAAGCACTTCAGTACTTGATTGTGGCGCCATGTCAGTGGTGTAGTCTACGTGATAAGCAGGTATACGCCGTATACACAGGGCCGGATTAACAATAGGGCTATATTATTAACAATAGGGCCCGAGCAACGAGGGGGCCTGTGATTGGCTGTGGAGTAGATTGACTGAAGCGCCAATCGCCAAAGTGGGACCCACACTTATTAGCGCTATTATTTAGTGGAGCTTTGCCGTAAATTCCATATATTACCATTAGATATTGAAATGTCACGTTTGAATTTGGTTTACCAATTAAATGCATTTTTTCTGTATTTGACTTTTGAACGGACTGTACGCGTATCTATCAGGTGATCGCTGCGCCTGATGTCCGCATTCACCTCCACTCTTCACTTCGTTCTGGCATAATCTGGAAATGGTCACGCAAATTTGAACAAACTCTATATATTCGCTTAAGGGTTGGGAAATAACCCGGTAGAAAAATGTCAATCGTTTTGATGTAAGCTTAAACACGTTTTAAGCATTGTGGTTTTAAAAACAAATGGTTTTAAACTGTTCATGGACATTAAGCAGCGGGGCAGAATTCATGTTGGTAAATGCACGTGTTAAGACCGAACAAACTCTATATATTCGCTTAAGGGTTGGGAAATAACCCGGTAGAAAAATGTCAATCGTTTTGATGTAAGCTTAAACACGTTTTAAGCATTGTGGTTTTAAAAACAAATGGTTTTAAACTGTTCATGGACATTAAGCAGCGGGGCAGAATTCATGTTGGTAAATGCACGTGTTAAGACCGTTTCAGCCTGATACGCGCGGCGCGCACCTGCTCGTACAGCGCCTGACTAAACT